TAGCATCCTAATCTTTCTGTTTTTCGTTTAGAGCGATAGTACTCGCAACCGTGTTCTAACCGCCATGACTAGTGCTATGCAGGAGGGAAAGTTAAAGGGCATTCTCGGTCGCTTGGGAGATTTGGGGGTTATTCCACAGAAGTTTGACATTGCTATATCAACTTCCTGCGGAGCACTTGATCATATTGTTGTGGAAACTATGGAACTTGCTCAAAGGGCAGTGGAGTATTTGAAAAAGTACAATCTTGGACAGGCTTCATTCATTGGTGAGCTATTCATCTACAACCCTGCATATATTAATAAATCTTACATTACATATTGGTAGAACAGTCGTTGATCGAGGCTATTTTCAAATCTGCTAAGCATTCTTCATGCTCCTACTTGTATGAATTAATTTTACTACTGTTCTTTACAGCTTTGGATAAGATGCAACGCTGGGAGGCGGAAGCCTCCAAACCCTTTGTGGGTCCAGTTCCATCAGCTAAACGTCTGTTTGACCTCGTGGACACTTCGGCAAATCCTTTCGTCAGACCGTGTTTCTTCTTCGCTCTGCGAAATACTCTCATCGCAGACAATTTGGATATTGCTGTGGACTGGGCCTTCAAACACAAGCAGCGTTTTCGTGTTGTCACTTTACAGGTAGGGTCTTAGGCAAGTCAAATTGGGTAGTAATCTGGCTACTGTCTAACGTATAAAGTCATCTTCTTCCTATTATAATGATTTGATTAGGATTGTCCTACTTTTGATCAGATAATTGAGAGGAAGTAGTTTCTATACCGTTCAATGAAATGACATTCGAGTGTTGGATACTTTTACTCTACTTCAAACTATCTTTATCACGAACACAGTGTAGAACGGTGAACAAATTTAGTTTGAATACTTGTATTAAGAGAAAACTAAGCTTGTTTTTATTTCAAATGAAAGTTTTTACCAAATGGCAGGTGTTTTGGTAGTTATCATTAGCCCTTTAGTTGACTTCAGGCTTCACAGATAGGATGGAACATCAAAGTGATAAAAAAACGAGAGGGGGGGGGACAGGAGAGTTTCAAAGATATAAAAGAGACAGACACAAAGGTAGAAAAAGGTGAGATGAGAATGTGGAAGTAGTCGAATATGACATACAGTGGAGCGATGGTAGTTTGAAGTGAGAAGACTTCAAAAGACTTTTTTGCCGTATGAGTATACGTTGCCCAGGGTTCATTTCAACTGAAAGTATGTGCGTAGTATTGAAAGGAGCTTAGGACGAGGAGGGTGTTGATATGGGATAGGTGATGAATAAATACTTAAGAATCATTGTATATCCTAAAGTAAGTGAACGTTTGCTATATATAAATATATATTTTTACCGTTAGGTTCTGTTTGACACGCTGGTGCTCACTAGAAACAGTAATGCAGATTGACAGCTAGATGTTAAACTCCAAATGTTTACTTGTATTGAAAACGCGTAAAAAAGCATTTCTTGGCTAGTCAGTCTTTTAGGGTTTATTTATGCCATATCTCTTCGCATCCTTTGTCCTTAAATTTCAATATAATTCGAAATTTGATATTTCGAAATACGCTATCACCTAATAGGTTGTGTAAATGCTACTTATTTTTTGTATTGTTATTATGGTTACAAATTTGAGCATTTTCATTATGAGAAAAACAATTTTAGTCGCTTAGCAGTGAAGCTAAGGTGAAGATAAGCCGAAAAGATCTTGTGGAAAATGCTTGAGCATTAATAGCTTTTTTTGGAACTTGTTTATTCAATATATTTACTGAATGGTTAGTTCTCATTCCAAATTTCTCACTTCACGAATCGTCCTCCGTGTTAAAGAACAAATTCTTGTTTACCAAATTCAGTGCTTATTGGCTAGTGCATTAAAATAAGAAAGTCATTATCTTCCCTTTATAAGCAAAAAAAAATATTAAATTGTTTGTTGTCAAGGTTGGATTGCCCCCCCCCTCCATTTATTTTCTTTTTTATTTCAGGGTCAACTCATTGAAACATCCGGTGCCATGTCGGGAGGTGGCAGTGGACGACCAATTTCTGGACGAATGAATACTGACTCATCGAAGACTAAGCGTCGCAGTCAAGGAGCGCCTGTTCACACTGAAGCCTCCATTGCTGCCAAAGAGAAGGAGCTATCCGCCTGCGAAGCTCGTCTCTTCGAAGCTAGGCGAAAACGCGAACAATTGGAAGATGCTGTGAGCCAACTCACACAACGCATGCAAGAAGCTGAACGTGTGGTCACCAAGTGTCAGGCAAGTATTTTCTCTCTCTCTCTCTCTCTGTGTGTGTATGTGTGTGATTCCCCTAAGTGCACTTACAAAATTTATAAAATTTCTTGAGTAGGATTTTCTGAATTTTGTCTTCTCGCGGTGTTATAGCGCGTTTGATCCCATTGTCAAAAGGTGCCTGGTACTGTCATGTAAAGATGGCTGTAGGAAAACAGCTCATTAGGGGTTGAATATTAGGCCTAGCACCGGTAGCATTTCCGGATGCCTTTCCTCATTTTAGTGGAGCTTGTTTTGCGGCCATTTATTTTTAAGAGAACATACACAAGATATCGTGGTTTCTAACTAGACGAACGTCTGGTTTCTTTCAACTGAAAACCCTCTAAAATAAATTCATTTGATTGGCTTCTGTTTGAGTATTGCTAGTTTATTATTCAGTTTGTGTCATTTTGAGGGTTTAAATGAGTATAAGGATTTTGAATGTCTTATTCGGTCAATATATTTGGTAACATACGATTTCTATTTTACTGTCATTCTGATTTATCTACTAATAATTATTTAGTAGGTAAAAATTTATGTCCTCACCTTAGAATGAAATGGAGCGCCTGCGTGAAGAGGCCAAAGTTCTGGCTGAAGAAGCCAAGCAAGCCGAGTCTCGCGCAGCACGGTCGGGCCCCTCGATGGAAGAGCGTGAGCGAATGCAGGCCACAGTGGCGGACTTGGAAAAGCAGCATACTACCAAGTCCGCGAAAGCTACCGAGTTGCAGGCCAAGGTTGATGAGATCAAGGCTGCCCTCTTGGAAGCTGGCTCGGCTCGTTTGGCTAATGTTAGATCTCGTGTCCAGTTAGTTGAGTCAAAGATCAAAGAGGTGAGTAGTTCCCTTTGAAAAATGAGTGTTTTTATTCAATTTGCATCGATGGAAGGCTTATTTCCATTATCCTCGCACATTGTCGTTCTTTTTCACCATTTTTGTTTCTTACTCCATGCAATTTACACTGTATCGTGTTTTTGATATGCTTTATTGTTTAAGGCGAGTTAAATTTAGCTAGAAAAATGTGTGACGCCTAACAAATCTCATAAAATGGTTGCTGTGATCCAATGTCATTGTTGTCCGCAATGGGCTGGTGTCGCATTACCTAGCCTCTTGGTAATTTAGGAATGATTTGAAGTAGGTTTTTAAATTATCGGTGACATGCATTGCACTTTATTGTCCAAGTGATTAAGAAATGTAGTTTTATCAAACCTTTAATTTAAACTATTTTAAAACTGAATTAAAAAAATATAAAAACTGCTTCACATTGGAGTAATATTTAATAATTCAAAAAATTAACGATTTTTGTCGTGAAAAAAACGCTTAATGAGGAAGAATTCAAACCACTTGCCATGATCTAGTATTTCAAAATTGAGAAGTCGAAAATGGATTTAACTAAGCTGCGGGTTGTGTTAACAAAGCAGTGAGGAAGCAGAAGGAAAAATGAAAACGAAACCAAACGAAACGAAATTTTGGGAAAAACTTATCCCGCTGGAAACGAATTTAGTTGCGCCTACAAAAGTCGAATAATGTGAAGCTTATAAACAAATAGAAAATCTAAATTCCTTACGATTGGGGTTCTACCTCTAAGGTTCCAAAAATCATTACCGTGAGATCAAATGCAAATGTTGTGGATCTACTTTAGCAATGCTAGAGATCTCGCTATTTAGCAATTACAAGCACATTTTAGGTATACAACTCAGTGGTAAAGCAGTTATTGTGGTTTTTCTATCAAAATTTTTAAAAAGCCATTCCAACTTGGTCGCGCTATTGTAACCACCGAAAAAAGACGCTTCAAGTAATATTTCTCAGCTTCCAAATTTTGGCATTATCGTTTTTGTGGGGTGTCAACATGCTGGTACCAGATGTATTCTCTCCTAACCCCAGTAGCGGCTTTCTCATACAAAAGCATCGAAGACTTCAATTCGATCATTCGGTCAATCCTGTTCTTATTTTTAAAAGCTCATGAATCATTTCACGAAATTTACTGCTTGCCACAGTTAATAGATAGTAATTCTCGTTTATTCTGCTGCATTTACTTGAGAAAATAACTCTTGAACATAATTGAGCATCACTAGAACAGTTTGTGTCTTCATGTAGGTCTTATTTTATTTAAATGACGCCTTCATTGTCTTTTTACTTTTATGTATTTAATGTGTTTCTTCCCTCTAATCCAATGCAGACAAACGACCTGTTCACAAAACTTGAAGTGGACATCAAGTCAGCCCAACGCAATCAGACTAAGTGTGAGGCCAAAATCAAGGCCTACGAAGAAGATGTGGAGAATCTTAAGGCTAAACTTACCGCAATTGAGGAACGAATGAGTGAGATTGAGAAGACTGCCAAGGTTTGCATGGAGGAGTTCCAGGATCTCCATAAAAAGGTGAGTTTTGTGTGTGTGTGTGTGTGTTGATAGTTTACTGAAACGATCAAAGTAGTACTAGTTATTTGTTATCTACCTTCGATTTCCAAGTTACTTTGTCTGACGAATTTGTAGGCATGGCGTAAAAAGATTGCTACTTGTTAAGGTTGCACGATAAGTTAGCGTTTATAGCTATTATCGACCGTTTGATGAATTTCAATGTCAGATATTTTAACTTACTAAACATTTATTTATTTATATCAAATGGCAGGCATTTTGATAGTTATCATTAGCCCTTTAGTTGACTTCAGGCTTTACAGAGGGAGAGGAACATCAAATCGAAAAAAGTCTTGGGGAGGGGGGGGGGGAAGACAGAAGAGTGATTCAAAGATGTAAAATGGACAGACAAAGGTAGTAAAAAGGTGAGGTGAGTAACGTGAAAGTAGTCGAATATAACATACAGTGGGGTGACGGTGGTTTGGAGTCAGAAGTCAACTGCCAGTTAATAGACTTTTTTGCCGTATGAGTATACGTTGCCCAGGGTGCACCACGTGGAGGTAAGTCTATCACACACCCCACTTACTAAACATAAGTAGTTACCACTGCAAGTTAAAATGGTAGAAACAGTTCACTCACTCTTGTTATACTTTAATCTCTTAATTTAATTAGGTCCGTAGTCTAATGCTTGATTGACTCACTAATTTCAATGAAGGGGAGTGGCAAATGCTGTTCATCTTTGCAAAATCAGATGAAAATGGAGAATTTGTGGTATTAGGAGCAACAATGTTCCTTTTACCGCTATTTTATCTGTTAATTACTCGCTTTTTACAGTTCATAAGTAAGCGAAAACACTTTTCTAATGGAGGATCTATCAACACCTCCCCCCATTTGCTTAAGGTCTGGTTCACCGCGCCAATGGTTGAGAGTCTAGGTAATATTTGTGGTTGTCCCTTGACATATCATCGACTTCATGCCTTTATATCATGGGTGTAAGTATAGAGCCTTTAGGCAATCCATAGCTCAGACTTATTAGCACTTTACGTTACTGGATAAGGGGTAGAGTGGGGCATTAACTGGTCTGCTTTTCCTTATAGATCAAAGATTTAAATGAGAAGTTATCAGTAATCGGAGAGGAGATAGAGAAGGCAGAGAGTACATTGGCTGCTAGACGCAAGGAAGAAGGTGTAGTTCAACGCAAAGCTGACGAACTCAAAACCCAAGCCGCGGAGGCTGCATCACGAGCTAAGGCATGGCAAATGAAGCTTCGTTCTCTGCGTCTTCATCCAATTGAAGATGACGATGAGGAGACGGAGCAAGCATCAACTGCAAATTCCAGTCAACAGCCGATGGATGTCGATAGCACAGTAAGCACTGAGACTTTTCTCGATGGTGACGGAAAGAACTTGAAACTCCCGGTTTATACGGAGGTGGAAATTGCTGGTAATTGCGCGTTTGTTGCTTAGCGTTATTACTTCCAATTATTTCTAATTATTCACTCTTGACTTCTTCTTCTCCCAATTCTTCTTGAAGTCGCTGTTATCAAAAAAGCACCCATTCTACCACTCTTGTTTATCCGAATTAGTTGAGAGACGTTTGGTTTTTTTTCTCCCTGCATATGAACGTGTGTACGCATCGATCTGGGAATATTTTGGGGCTTGAAAAGAACTGGCTATCATAGTTTTTCTGATTCACTGTGCATCTTCTCCAAATTCTACTTTTGAAGGTGGATTATAACTGGATTTGTCGTATTTTTTGGTGAATTGGCTCTTTTTAAAACGCACTCTTTTGCTCTCTGTGCATGCAATCAGAATCACTTTGCTTCTCTAATTTAGCACAAATTCCTCAGTTTGCTGTAATGAATATCAATTATGTTCCTTCTTTCTAATTCTTAGCTGTACCTGGTGACTAAAAAGATTCCCTACTATAACAAGGTCACACCTTTTTTGTTGAATCCCGGTCTCAAAATTTTCTTAATAGATCCAACGAACAGGCTCTGTTCATAGTACCTCACCGAATTAGCTTTTTCTGCAGATATTCATTGCTCTTACTAGAAGTGTGAATTCACTAATACATTATTTCGACAGTTTATATTCCTTGGTGTTCCTCTCAGTACACCTCGTCTTCTACTGTAGAAATGAAGGTAAACGAAGCCGAAGTGAAGAAGTTGGAAGAGCAGACAGCTGCAATGGCGCCTAACATGTCGGCAATCGAGCAATATCGGAAGAAGGTTGATCTCTTCTTGAAGCGTGTGGCGGAGTTGGATCATGTGAGCGAGTTGCGTGCAGAGCAAGTGAAGCAGGAGGCAGAATTCAAGGCCAAGCGACTCAGTGAGTTCATGGCAGGATTCAATACTATCACAATGCGCCTTAAAGAGATGTACCAAATGCTTACGCAAGGTGAGTTCCCGAACTATTCCCTATGCGCAGGATTTTGGTTTGCTCTTTTATTTTTGGAGGCTTTGACATGTCTCAATTTTTTAGAGGTTTTCATTGTGTTAATTGAATTTGTTCGCGGCACATCTACCCTTTATGTAATATGTTGATTTTTTTGCTTTAATTGAACTTTGGCATGCAATTACCATCTATATGACCTTATTCTTCCAAGTTTAAGTATTTGGAGTTGATTTGACTGCTTTCAAGCCGTCTTGGTTAGATCAGCCAAGGTTAAACAAACAGAAATGGAGACTGCAAAGTTCTATTTGTCTCAGGATAAGTAATTCCTGTAAGTATATCGACATGCAAGTACAATTTGATCGTTATTTAACTAAAGCTTTCACAAATTCGGTGTTGTTTTTGATCTCCAATAATGTATGTTCATATATTCCAATATAGTAATTGTAATTCCTTCTCATCTTTCTAATTCTGACCCAACTGTGGGTCAGCCAAGCTTTCTAGTTGACTCGTGATCTTGCTGTGCTCAAGTGAAGCGTACCTCTGGACGCATCGTAGACCAATGGGAGCTCAGTGCATCTTTCACCCAGGTGAGACTACTTAGTCAGTGGGTTCTGTATCACGCGGCGGCTCTAGGCGGATACGATATAATTTTTACTCTAGTCTTTACGTTTGTTACTTCTTTTGCCATCTTCCTTGCATCTTATTGTCTTCATGGCCTGCCAAACTTGCTTTACCCTTGTGATGTTTCTTCGTAAGCATCTGGTTGGACCATGTCGTTGGAAGATTCAAGAAACAAAGCTTAAAACTGCTTAATTCGTTTGATAGACCATTATCTACCTGGTTTCTACTAAATGTTTGACCAATGTTCTTTTGAGTGGAAAGTTATTTGGTTAACTCTCCAGTTATGGGGTAGGATTAGCTTTGACGAATGGGTATTTCTTCCTTTAAGCATATATTATTGACAAATATCGAATTTATATTAATCTAAGTAATCGAAAAATGAAAGTTAGTGAAATGAAATGGCAAAAAGTAAAAGCATTAAACCTCGAAATACCATTACTACTTATTATGGATACGGTAAATGCACCTTAGCGTACTCTTGGTGCTTCTCGACTGGCTGAAAAATGGACGCACTGGTTGCCACCAAGTCTTCGCTTGCAACACTTCACTATTTTACATGTTTAGTTAACTCTCACAGACATGAAATTCATTGTTGAAGATTAATTTTGGGGTCTTCTGTGTGTATATCCGTTGAGAAATGTTTTTTTTCATAGCTCTTTTATTTAATGTATTTTTGTTTATTAACACTGGAGACTCTTTAGAATATTTCAAACTTGTCTATTATTCGTTTACCTTAGTTTGCTACATTTGGGGTTGTTTGAATTCACTTTAGTTTTAGAAGTCGTGTTATATCAAGCTCCGTTTCCCGATGTTTCTGCGAGTATCTATGTATTTGTTCCAGCTTCTCAATCTCATTTAACTTTCTTCCACAGGTGGCGATGCAGAGTTAGAGTTGATCGATTCCCTGGATCCCTTCTCTGAAGGCATAATCTTCAGCGTTCGTCCACCAAAGAAGACCTGGAAGAGCATTGCCAATCTCTCCGGTGGTGAAAAAACTCTCTCTTCCCTGGCTCTCGTTTTCGCTCTCCATCACTTCAAGCCCACTCCACTCTATGTCATGGATGAGATTGACGCCGCATTGGACTTCAAGAATGTCTCCATTGTGGGAAATTATATTGTGGAACGCACAAAGAATGCCCAGTTTATTATTATCTCCCTGCGAAATAATATGTTTGAGTTAGCGGATCGATTGGTGGGCATCTATAAGACGCACAATATCACCAAGTCCGTTGCGTTGGATTGTGCTTCTCTGTCGAAGAAGCTGGAAGCGGCAATTGCTGCGAGGTTAGGAACAAAGCCACAGGCAGTTGGTGTTGTAGTCTCGGGATCAGAGAACGCAGTTGTTCAACGTGAGTTATTTCAGTTTTAATTCAGGGAAACAATTGGCTTGATATGACTAAATGACGTTATTTTGTCTGCAACTTAACAACGCTCGATTATCTGGCAATCTCCTTGTTAGTAACTAAGCCCCGAACCAATACATCTAATCTCTTAGGTATTTTACTGAAAAATATCTTTTTTTCTGCAAAATGGAGCACGAGGGAATCCATTTATTATCGTAATGAGTATTGGTTCATCGAAAATTCGTATGACGCATTTGATTTCTTTGTTCTACATGTCTGATGAATAAATTTGCACACGCCAACTTTGATACAGGGATAGCCATCTATTTATTAACAATGGTATTGATGATGATCCCCAGGGGCATATGTGGGAGAGCGTGTTTTCCAATGCTCTTCTCGACCTCCCAAGTGGGAGGGACTTGATTTCTGCCTGTGCACGTTGGGGCATTAAAGTCATGAATGGTTTTTTATGTTTGACGAGCTTGTTAATCACTATCCCACCGTTATACTTTCATAATTCAAACCAGACAAACCGATGCATGACTTGATTTTTTATGAAGAAAGTGTTAGAATCTATCATATCGAGTTCACAGTTTTCTATTCACTCTATTCGCCTTTGCTATTTATTAATACCTTTGGAGTTGAAGGTCGCTTGAGAAGATGAGTTGCCATTGCATGGCATGTATGGTGATGTCACGTCACGTTTTGAGGCTTAGTCAGAAGTGGTCGTTCATTGTACCTTAAACTACCGTGATTATCGAGTTTCGTTAGGGGGTGGAAGGGGTGGGGGGTGGGGGTGAACTTGAATATTTCTGGCACAACTAAACATGATTTGTTGATTGAGCACTCTCCTACTCTCTAAAGAATTTTTTCGCATGGTCTTGCTTTTTTGTTGCATTGCTAAGCATCTTAGCCATACAGAAATTACATGTAGTAAAATCCTTATAAAATTCAATAAAAATGAAACTATCGGTTGGGGCTACTGGTGTTAATTCTGAGCCACATTTGCAGTAACACGCACCGTGAGCCTAAGTAATTGCAGTAGCCGCCTAAATAATGTTAATGTCCGCCTAAAGTAGCAGTAAACTTAAGTTACTTTAATTAAAGATGTTGGGAAGTCCGATTTCTGATCGCTATGATCTGTGTGGTTATTTGATATCGCTAGACCACAGAAGACGTAGAAATGAAGACGGATAAGACCGAAGTGTCCTTACTCCAATCAAAGTTATTTTCATGCTATTGCTATTGG